GCAAACAGAGAGGTAAGGAGCTTAGATCTTACCCACGGGAGTTCAAATAGGAGGCCTGACATACAGCAGCAGTATTTAAGATTTCCCAATAGGCTAGCCTCACTCATCACGGTAAGGGAACAACACCCTCTTTTGACTAAAAGTACTATGCCAGAAACATACTTTACTCAAAGTATAAATATGACTAATACGATGACTAGCATGAACAGTCCTGATCAGATATAAAAAAAATCAAAATGAACAGATTACTTTCAAATGTTGACCAGTTGTTTTGTTCAGCATTTCTGAAACACTCACAAATTATTAAACTGTCTTCAGTTCTACACCTACTTACCTATTTATTTATTTATTTTATTTTTGCAGTACTGGAGATTGAATCCAGTGCCTCTACACTGAGCTATACCCCAGCCCTTTTTAATTTTTTTTTATTTTGAGACAGGCTCTTATGTTGCCTAGTCTAGACTCAAAATTATGATCCTCCCGCTTCAGTGTCTCAGACTGAAAGGATTACAGGTGTGCCACCAGCATGCCTGGATCTAAAATGTTTTGGAAACTAAAAAAGGAAAAAAAAACAACTTTAAACTCAAATGATTCCAATATGAAGCAGTACAGTGTGCGTGTGCGTGTGTGTGTGTGTGTGTGTGTGTGTTTGTGTGTGTTCTGGGGGTCGAACTCAGGACCTTGCACTTACAAGGCAGGCGGCAGCACCACTGAGCTAAATCCCCAGCCCTGTACATACAGTATTAATCCCATCTTACTGAAGCAGAAATTATGTTGAAAATATCTAGATGGCCTCTTTAGACCATTCCTAATAAGTTGCAGTCATAGATTTTTGTTCCTTGGTTTTAAAGTTGAGTCATTTGTTTATTTTCATGAAAATCAGGAAGAAAAAAGACTAAAGTAAAATCAAATCCTACAGTTTTTTTAAAAGGTCATTTTGCCTTTTTTTGGTTCTAGGGATTGAACCTAGAGCCTTAAGCTCCAGCTCCATATTTGTCATTAAAGTAGTTGTTTACTAGGGCTTTATGACAAATAACTTCAGAAATTAGTACCCAACAAGAAGAACAAGAAACTGAACATAATAGATCTTCAGCTAAACTAGGAGATACACAAAACAAAGAAAAACTACTCATTGGAGAAATGTACTCACCAGAAAAAGGAATAAAGCATGAGATATAGAGGGTGAGGCACTAAAGTAAAACCCTGATTTTAATGAAAGCCTACAAGTTAAAAGACGAGATGTAGGGCCTGGGATTTGGCTCAATGGTTCTGCTGTCTGCCTTGTAAGTGCAAGGACCTGAGTTCAATCCCCGGCACCAAAAAAAGAAAAAAAAAGAAAGACGAGATGTCCCTATCCTTTTCTTTTAAATCAGGTCCCAAATGCTTTTTCCAGACAAAAGATTAGAGGATTTTTCTCAGCATGAACTAATTCCCTCAAAATAAAGGACCGATGGACTATTATTTGCAGGTTCTTGGTCAGACGCCAGGTGTGCCTTGACTACTTTACAGAGAAGCTTATACACAAAACTTCTCATCAGCTTCTCGAGTTCCACCTCAAATATGAACAATCAATGAAGGACAAGAGACATTTAACAAAAGCCTGCAATGCATGGAACAACAGAAAACTTCAAAGAATTACAATTAACACCCTCAGAGAAGGGTAAGGATATAGCTCAGTGGTACAGCACTTGCCTAGAATGTGAGTCCCTGGTTTTTATTCCTAATACCTCCAAACAAAACAAAATCCTCAGAGGAATGTGTAAAAGATGATGTACCTGTACAACAGGTTGCTATGAAGAGAACTAACAGAAAATTCTAGGTAATCAAAAATATAATGGCTTTCAAAAAAATCAATAAAACGTTGTTCTCACAGAAGTTGAGAGTACAATGGTAGTTATTAGAGGCCAAGAAGAGTGGGACAGGGCTGGGGATTTAGCTCAGTGGCACCCGCCTGCCTCACAAGCACAAGGTCCTACGTTCTATCCCTGGTACTTAAAAAAAAAAAAGCAGGTTGGAGGAATGAATGGGGAAAGGTTGATCACAGGGTATTCAATTACAGTTACTGGAAAAAATTCTGGTATATTATTGCATGGTAGGGTACCTAAAGACATCTCAAAAAGCTAGAAGACTGGGTCTATGGTACACAACTGCAGTCGAAGGAACACTGTTTGAACCCAGTAGTTTAAGACTAGACTGAGCAACACAATGAGATCCCATCATGAAAAAGAAAAAGGAAGAAAATACTCTAGAAAAAACAGGATTTTGCTTTTCTTTTTTTCTTTTTTTTTTTTTTTGGTTTTTTGAGACAGGGTCTCACTATGTAGTTCAGACTGCTCTGGAACTCACTGTGTAGCCCAGGCTGGTCTCGAAATTCAGCATTCCTCCTGCCTCAGCCTCCCGAGTGTTGGGATTACAGGTGTGCGCCACAATGCCCAGCTGGATTTTGAAAGTTTTACCATAATGAAATGACAAATGTTTGAGGAGATAAATATGTTTGACCTGATTTAAACACTTAGGTGTGCATATACTGAAACCTTACATGGCTCCCCACTAATATACACTATTTTTAAATAATTCAAACATAAATTTAGCACATCATGTGCATGTACAAAAATGTCAGAGTGAAACCCATTAATCTGTAGAGTTAATATGCACTAATAATTACAATTTTTAAAACCTTAGAAAATAGTCACTAAAACAATCAGTAAGCCAGACACAGTGATGAACATCTGTAATTCCAGACTCAGGAGGCTAAAGCAGGAAGATGGGACAGTTCAAGGCTAGCCTGGGCTACAAAGCAAGATCAAGTCTCAAGAAACCACAAGCAGTAACAGAAAATAACTAATAAGCAAACAACAACAACAAAAAAATCAGTGAAAGTAAACAAAAGGACAAAGAAATAGACAAATGGAAAAGAAAAATTAGATGATCAGTCCTAGAGGTCTAATATCTCATTAACTGCAATTCTAAGAAGAAAAAACCATAAAAAGGAAATCAAATAACAAAATTTCCTAGAGCCGAAGGCCTGAAAATTTAAAATTAAAAGAATAAAACAAAAAAGTCAAAGCAAGACACATCATTATCAGATTTTAGAACACAAGAAATCAGAGTAAATCTCAAATACTTTTAAGAAAAATAAACCAAGGCTGGGCATGGTGGCACACACCTGTAATCCCAGCACTTGGGAGGCTGAGGCGGGAGGATCGCTGTGAGTTCAAAATTAGCCTGGACTACACAGTGAGTTCCAGAGCAGTTTCAACTACATAGTGAGATCCTGTCTCAAAAAAAAAAGAAAAAACCAAAAAAAGAAAAAAGAAAGAAAAATAAGCCATGTATAAAGGACTAGGAGTCAGAGTGGCAAGAGACTTCTCAACAGAAACTCTCAATATACAAGAAAATGGAGGGCTGGGCATGGTGCTACACACCTATAATCTCAGCACCAGGGAGGTTGAGGCAGAAGGATCACCACAAGTTTTGAGCCCAAGCCGGGGCTATACAGTGAGTTCAAGGCCAGCCTGAACTACACAGTGAGACCCTGTCTCAAGAAAAAAAAAAAAAAGAGGAGGAAGGGGAGAAAAGAAAATGGAGCAAATTCTGAGTAAAAATTATTTTTGACATCAAAACCCTACCCAGAGGCTGAGGGTATGATTCAGTGGTAGAGTACTTGCCAACATGATCTCCAGGACTGACACATACTCAACTGACACAACTGACAACTGACACATCTAGATATATAGATATAGATATAGATATAGATATATAGATATAGCTTCCTGTGCCCTTTCTCAAGGTGCTACTAGGAGACAGTCACCAAAACAAAAAAAAAAAAAAACAGGAGAGAAACTTAAAATAAACTTAAGTAGCACACACCTGTAATCCCTACATTCTGGAAGGCTGACGCAGGAGGATCACAAATTCAAGCCCTGGACAACTTGGTGAGACCCTATTTCAAAATTTAAAAAAGAAGGGCTGAGGATGTGGCAAAGTGTGAAGGTCTGGGTTTACTCTCCATTACTACAAAATGAAGGAATGAGTGGGGGAATGAGTAAATAAAAATAAAAACTTTTAAAAAGGCACCTCAGCACAAAAGTTGTTGTTTTTTGGGGTTTTTTTTTGATACTGGGGATTGAACTCAGGACCTTGTACTTGCAAGGCAGCGGAACCACTAAGCTAAATTCCTGGCGCAGCACAAAGGTTTAATTGAGATTTTAATTCATAACTATGGGGCTAAGGATATAGCTTACTGTTAGAGCACTTGCCTCGCATGTACAAGGCCCTGGGTTCAATACTCAGTACCATAAAATTAAAATCCTCAATCATAATAAGACTAAAAACTACAAGAGTTACTCAGAGAAGAACTGAAAGTGCTCTCCTTTCCACCCGCATCAAGCAGAAATAAAACTAGTGAAAACAATGAAACAAATCTCACATTTTAAAACAATCATTATGATAGAAATATTTTAATTTTTTATTTTTGGTACTAGAGACTGAATCCAGGGATTCACGCATGTAAAGCACATGCTCTACCACTAAGCTACAACCCAACCTCTAGAAACACTGTTTTATTTTTGGTACCGGGACTGGAACTTGGGTCCTTGTGCGTGCATGGCAGGCGGCAGGACCACTGAGCTAAATCCCCAGCCCAGAAACACATTTTTTGACCTAGGAATTTTTACCCCCCCTACATTATTTTTTCATTTTCTTTTTAAATTTTGAGACAGGGTCTTGCTCTGTTACCAAGGTGGAACTTCAGTTTATAATCCATCTGCCTCAGCTTTTCACATAAATATGAGTATAGGCATGCAGCACCATGCCTAGCTAAGCCCAAATTTTCCATCACTAAGTAAAGATAAGTAGGGTTATATAATTATACAGTATGGTTAAGGATACAGCTCAGCAGCAGAGTACTTGCCTAGCATGTGCAAGGCCCTGAGTTCAATCCCCAGCATTGTGGGGGGTGTTAGTGGGAAGGAAGAACAAGGGGGAAGGTGAGGAATCACCTTTTTAAGCACCTTCATGGCAAATATTTTCCCAGTATTTGCTCCTGTTACTTTTCGCACTTGAAAAACCTAGATAAAGAAAAAAGAATTTATGTTATTAGAAGTCAAACTGTAGGTCATATTCCTTTAATTGCCTTTTATCAAAAACAAATGATACAGTAGTTTATATTGTAAAAACTATGAAGGACTGAATGCAAAAATGATTAGCTAGAACAGACTCATTTTAAAATTTACCGTAGTGAAATCTGTTCAACACAGGACTTTCCTGCTTCATCTGTTGCCATCTGGTGGCAAGGTTGGGAAGTGACTGCCTAATGATGAGCACACCACAGTACTTCATACATAAAATCCTAGTTAGAATAAATTATAGTCATGGTTCTAAGCAACACAACCTAAACTAAAAAATTATAAAATAGTTCATAAATTTATTCCAGTGGTGCTATTCATACTTCACATAAAACTATTTAATAATAGTTGACAAGAAATCATTTACCTATTCCATTAAAATGGCTAGTTCTAAATTTTCATGCAATAGGGGAAATATGTGAGATTCAAATGCATCTGTGCACATTCACAATGATTAAAACTCATTACAATGTGTCCTTAAGTCTAAGAATAAGCTACAAATGTCACATTTCACAAAACTTAACACTACCCAATAGCATAAACAGCTCTTAAACTTAATCCTAGGCAAGTTATCCAAATTGTCTTTTGAAACAGAATGGCTAAATGTTAGTGTTCTTGGGCAGAACATCATAAAGGTAAGGCATTAAATTAGAAAGCCTTGGGAAAAACTATGAAAGTAAGTTTTCTTCTTCCTTCTTACATTCTTTTCTTTCCTAACTCTATTTCTCCAGATACTGCAAATCAAATAATAATTCAAATTAAGATCTCAACAGATAATTTAATGTACATGTCTGTTAAAAGTAAAGAGGTCTTTCTGTGTTTAAAGAAGATACTTGTACAAGATACCCTTTAACCAAAGGAAAAAAATCAGTCCTTTAATAATAATATTTTGTCTTGCACAGTGGCTTATGTATATAATACTGACTACTATTATGTGACAAATTTTTACATGTGTGGTAATAGGAAGAGGAAGGAAAACTCAATTTCTTAATCCCTCAAATCACACCAAGTTGTTGTCGTTCTTTTGCTGATGGCTAAGAGTCTGACTGCTGGAGAAAGGGTATAAAAATCAACCTACTCAAGACACACAATAGCTCTCATTTCAGAAACACTTCCTACCTTTCCATAGCCCCCTTTACCAAGTACCCGAAGTAGCTCAAAACATTCTGGTCTGATTTTTTCTGGCCCTCTGTTCACACTAGTTTCTGAGATTTCAAATTTCTCACAATGTTCCATGCCACTGGGAAAAAAAGCAAAACCAAAGTAAATTTGCAAAAAGTGAAAATTATCTTTAGCATATTGTTAGAAAGAAGAAATAGAAATGGAATCCAATTAAGCAAAAGAAAAAGTACATGACAGTAAATTTAGTATCTGTGTGGTAAGTAGAGTGATAATTCACTGACAGGGCAGGGGACTGTAATTGTTTATCAGCTTTTTCACAGAATATACTATTGATTATTTTTTCATAAGCATCAAACACCCCCACACTAAGGTAAATTAGAACAAGTTTATTAAATTGACAAAGTCTTCCAGTTATTCAAATTTAGTTCATTCAAAATGTCCATGAGATTAGGTATTATCTAACATCATTTGGCAGCTTTGACAGACAATCTAGAATCTTTTCAAAACTACCCAGTTAGTTAGTTCATCTGTGTGCTACAAAAACTCTTGCTAATAAATTTTATCCATGCGTTTTCCCTTGCCTGGCTTTCTGTATACTGGTCTGATTTAAACTTCAAAATGGGTGATGATTGTGTCTGTCGTTTTAATGCTTCCTGTGCAAGTGATCTATCTTCTCAGTTTCCTCCCATAGCAAAGCTTTTTACCTAGGGTGGGGTATGGAGCAAATTAATCACATTCACCTACCGGAAACTGTTTAAAATGACTGATTTAAGATTGCACAAATCTGAACCTGGATATGGTGGCACACACCTGTGATGCCAGCACTCAGGAGGCTAAGGCAGGAAGATCTTGCACCGCAAGTTCAAGGTCAGTTTGGGCTACACAGTGAGTTCAAGGCCCGCTTGAACTACATAGTGAGACCCTGTCTCAAAACAAACAAACAAAACCAAAAAACCCCAAATGATGTTGGGGAATTCCTCCAAAGTTTTAAGTTAAAAGTGGTTAGAAATAGAATTCTCTATATTAAACTAATAGAAATTTCTAAGGTACTCAAACTTATACTCTGAATGTGAATCAGTATTGTTTTCTCCAAATCTATACAGAATATAAAAACTCTAGCTATGTCATTATATTGATCAGATTTTCAAGCCAAACTCAATAAAGCAAGTCTACAAGTATGACTAGGTATTTAAGAATATGTTACTGGAATCACTTGATGGGTGACTGCAACTAGCATAACTTATGTGAAAGAAAGCACAGTGAAAAATCTTCACGTATGAACTTACAGTTCGTATGGTCCAACTCCCCCATGGTCCATGCTTTCATTTAACTGACCCTGAAAAATATGTTAAAATTTTAGAAATAAATAATCTCATAAATACAAAATTTAGAAGCTTAATGTTTTATCTCATAACTAAAAGAGAATTAAATAAACAATATAAAATTCTCTCTATTTTAATGACAGGTAAATACGGTGGTAAACAAAATAAAGTACTTATCAGTATTGTTTTGTTTTTGGTACTGGGGATTCAAACTCGGATCCTTGTGCTTGTGAGGCAGGCAGTGGAACCAATGAACCAAATCCCCGGCCCAAGTACTTATCAGTATTATGAGGGTTTGATTTCATTTTTGTTTTTTACTTTTAATTTCACATGACAACTAAAATACAGATGCTACTCGTTCATAATCTAGAAATAAAATCAAATGACTATTCCTTTGGGCCAGGCATGGTGGTGCATGCCTATAGTCTCAGCACACAGGAGGCTGAGGCAGGAGACTGCTGCAATTTCAAGGCCAACCTGGGCTATGTAGTGAGTTCAAGGCCAGCCTGAACTACGTGGTGAGACTCTGTTTCAAAAAAAAAGTGACTACTCTTTCAAAACTTACATTTATCTATTAAAAATATATTTATGTATTATGAAACTAAAGGCATTACAATCTCAGTATGAGATATCAGATCAAATAAGTTATACAAAGTGCTATTCTGAAACCATCCTGTTAGACAGACTAATAAAATGCTATGACGTAAGCCTAAAGCAACCACAACTAATTCAAGATATGTACTATACAATGCAGCTAATTAAGACAAAATAATTAAGCAACACATTCAAATAGGAGTCATGCTCTCAAACTTTTATGATGACCAAAGAACAAATGAGTTAAAAATTAATTAGCCTTCTATATACTAGCAATGAACATAAAAATGACATCATAGTAACAACTCCAGCCAGACGTGATGCATGCTTCTAATCCTAGCACTTAGGAGGCTGATGAAGGAGGGCTGCCTAGAGTTCAAAGTCAGCCTGGGCTACAGAGTGAGTTCAAGGCCAGCCTGAATGACATAGCGAGACCCTGTCTAACAAACAAACAAAAAAACTCTTTTCATAAAAGTATATAGTTTAGAAAACACCAGGCATGGTGGTGCATCCTAGCACTAAGGTAGCTGAGGCAGGAGGATCGTCACAAATTTAAGGCTAGTCTGGGCTACAAAGTGAGTTCAAAGCCAGCCTCAACTACATAGCAAGACCCTAATTTAAAAAACAAAAACAGAAAATTACAGACTCATACACTGAAGTTTATAGAACTGTGCTGAGAATGTTTTAAAGATCTAAGTAAGTGTAAAGGTATCTCGTATTTATAGATCAAAAGATTTAACACTGTCAGCTTGGCACAGTGAATGACACGTGTAATCCCACCATTTGGGAGGCTGAGCCAGAAGGATCACTGTGAGTTCAAGGCCAGCCTAGCCTACATTGTGAGTTCAAGGCCAGCCTAAATTACAGAGCAACACCCTGTCTCTGAAAAAGCCAAAAAGACTTAACACTGTTAAAATGGCAATACTGAGCTACAGATTCAACGAAACACAGTCAAAATCTCAGAAATTAACAAACCAATCTGAACATTTATATAGAAATACAAGGGATCTCAGTTAAAAAAAAAA